TCATCGTATTGTAGAAAACCGTCAAGTTTGCTCTTTTTTTTTTGTTTTAATGGTTATAGTCAAACTCATCAATCAGCAAATAACTTCTACGCTTATCAAAATCTCTTTCATCAGGGTCCATAAAACCAGAGATTTTTCTCCTTTTTTGTTTGTTATCATTGTTTTAGCCAAACTAATCAATCAGCTAATGATTTATACGTTTATCAAGAGCTCTTACGTCATATTGCAGAAAACCTTCAATTCTGCTACCTTTTTGTTATCATGGTTATAGCCAAACCCCGTAATGAGCAAATGATTTATACTTTTATCAAGAGTTTTTTTATGAGGCTGGTAAAAACTTTTTATTTTGCTCATTTTTTCTGTTATCATGGTTATTACCAAACTCATCAATCAGCATGTGTTGATATGTTTATCAAGATCTCCTTAATCAGACTACAGAAAATCGTCAATTTTACACCTTTTGTTTTGTTATCATGATTATAGCTAAACCCATTAATCAACAAATGATTTATACGTTTATCAAGAGCTTTTTTATCAGGCTTCAGAAAACCGTCAATTTTTCTCATTTTTTTTTGTTATTATTGTTTTAGTCAAACTTATCAATGAATAAATGATTTCTACGTTTATCAAGAGCTCTTTCATCATACTGCAAAAAAGTCATCGATTTTGCTCATTTTTTGTTATCATGGTTATAGCCAAACTCATCAATCAGCAAATGATTTCTACGTTTATCAAACTCTTTCATCTGGCTTTTTAGAAGTGAATCAAAACTATGTTGTTGAGAACAATATTTTTAGCTTACTTCTTTGTGAAACGTCACAATTATCTTTTTAATAAATATTTTTTTAATAAATATTTGGAAATTAACTAATAAAAATATTCACCGAGGAGTTAGTGATTTTATCTAGATCTAAACCTAAACAATTTTATCTTTTTCCATAAATTTCAAAATCAAGAATATTTATTTTATATTTAGGATATTTTAAAGTATTTACACACTAACTTACCATCTAATATTCTAATTAATATCTCGATTTTCACTTTTTTGACTACTCCTTCAAGATTTATTTTTCTAGTTTTAGTTCATATAACACAAATATATTTTTAATTTTAAAAATTTATAGAGAGATTGATATAACCATCCATGATTTATTTATTTAAATATTCAAACCTTGACAATAACTGAATACATCCATGATTCTATTTTATTTTATTTTTAAAATAATGTTAGTTTACGTAAGGATCAGTCAAAACCAAAAGTGATTGAACTTTGAGTTTTGGTGTTATAAATTTATAATAATACGGTAACAATTGTGGCACAAGAAAAGTCTCTTAATTTTTTTTTGCAAGAACATAAGACGCTTCAACTTTGTCTTACAAAGTACGCATCGGAGTATAAATATAGAGTACAAAAAAAATCTCCCCTTATGCGGGATCATATATTCACAATGTACGTATGAGAGTATAAAATATAGCTCACTTAACCATATTGTTTACCTTTATCTACGGAAATTTAGAGAAAATATACTTAATTTTTGTCAAAGATATAGATCCAAATTAAGGTATGCTTTATTATAATTTATGCTTATGGTAATTTAAGTAGACGATAACGCTAAATATACTTGCTGCTTTAAATACAGTACTTTGTATTTATGTGTAGATCCATATTTTAAACTTATATACCTTTTTAATTTAAAATGAGGAAAGAAAGTTTTCCAAATAAAAACTCAAAAATGCCACTTTTAATCTATCTAATATATTGGAATATCTTATGATAATTTAATTAGGCAATAACATTAAATATACTCAATGATATGCTAAGTGTATCCGTATAAGAGAATTTAGAGTTCCTATTAACGAAATATATATACATCATCTATATATACATTTTTGGAGACATTTTTGAAATAAATCATGGAGTTGACACTTATTTACAATGTAATGCCACTGATATTAATTCTTAAGGTTTATTTCTTTAATTAGATATATGTAAATCAAATTTGTTTGCCAAAAATCTGGAGACAATCTTTCCTAATATCTCGATAATGATCATTTATACTCTATTTAAATTAAGATTTTCAATTCAAAATCACTTACCATATATTATAATTTATATATTCAATATCTATAAATTTATATATTCAATATCTATAAATTTTTTTATGATATTATGAACATTTGGACATATCAACATTTTAAACTAACACATGATGGGTTATATATTACGGGACGAAATTATATGGTGGGGCAGAGTTATTTGGCGGGACGGGTTTGAATCAAAGTTAATAAAATTTTAAAATATCATTAACCCGTTCCTTCAATATGGGTTAAATCCTCACTTTATTATTTTGAAAGACCTGTAATATTAGACATATCGAATCAGTCTAATTAGATATATGTAAATCAAATTTGTTTGCCAAAAATCTGGAGACAATCTTTCCTAATATCTCGATAATGATCATTTATACTCTATTTAAATTAAGATTTTCAATTCAAAATCACTTACCATATATTATAATTTATATATTCAATATCTATAAATTTATATATTCAATATCTATAAATTTTTTTATGATATTATGAACATTTGGACATATCAACATTTTAAACTAACACATGATGGGTTATATATTACGGGACGAAATTATATGGTGGGGCAGAGTTATTTGGCGGGACGGGTTTGAATCAAAGTTAATAAAATTTTAAAATATCATTAACCCGTTCCTTCAATATGGGTTAAATCCTCACTTTATTATTTTGAAAGACCTGTAATATTAGACATATCGAATCAGTCTAATTTAGTTAAGATTGTATAAAACAAAAAATGTTCCATAGTATATTGTTACTTAATGATAATTATAAACTATAAATTATAAATATCTTAAAAATAATACAATTTGCAAATTTGTATATATAATACATAATTTAGAATTTTTAAAAATTATAAATTTTAGAAAAAAATCACCCCGCGGGTCAATTCCTAGTAATTTAAAGAATGTAAAAATGAAGGAAAAGTAATATTTAATTGATATGGCTCAAAAGGGGAATAAGCTAAGGATTTTCTTACAAATTTAAGCTCCTATTTATTTAGTTACAATGAAAACATGATATATCAACCAGACTTCTATATATAAATTCTTATATTGTAAAAGGATACATAGTACAAATCGTTAACCAATTAGATGGGTGTGTGATATTGCTTAAGTGAAGTACAAAGAATCAAGAAGCAGATCTTTAGGAAATAAATATGAATGGTTTGGTTGAACCTAAATATTTATAACTTATTACATAGATTGAACTGTAACAATTATGTTTTTTTCTCAAAAATTGGCAATTCTCCAAATAAAGATATTCAATGAATATTTTAGACTTTATCTACAACTTTTACAAATTTAAAAAGAAAAAATTCATATATAAACTAAAACTAAACAATCTTATCATGTTTAAAATAAAATTCATAGTCAAGAATATTTATCTTTTATTAAAGATATTATAAAGTTTTTACATGCCAATCAAAGTGATAGATTTTTTGTGTTTTGATATTATAAATTTATAATAATACAGTAACTATCTAGATATTTTATTCTTTTTAAAAAATAATAAACCTATCATATATTTTTTTTTCTAAAAGAAATTTGAAAAAGTTTTAGATATTTCCAAATTTTATGATAGAGACAAATGACAAACTATTATCGTTTTCAAAAATAAATAATCTTAAATATGTATATATGTAACACTAAAACATTTCTTTTCCCGAAACAATAACCCAAAAATAATAATAATTTCCAATTTTTTTCCTTTTAAATTCTAAATGATATTTTTATAATGTAAATAATTCAGAATAACCTTAAATGGTTCTAATTTTTAATAAATATTAACATTTATATTTGGCACTATCACAATCCTTATAAAAATTAATATAGCTTAAAATGTTTTAATTTTTTACTACTTAAACATGATTTTATGATTTTGCTATTTTTATTTCCTATATTATAGAACTAAGTTGAGAAAAATATTATTTAACCCATCTGAATTTCTATTACACACAATTTATATTTTTAATTTTTATTAACAATAGAAACATACATTTGATAATTAAATAATTTAAACATTAAAAACTCTGTTCAATAATCCGAGAAATAATATGCCACTGAGTTTCTTATCATCTCCACAAAAGAAAATTATAGAACACAAAAAAAGTGAAACTTATAATAAAGGAAGGTTAAGTCGTCATGATTAAAATATATATATTAACAAAAAGTTGGTTTAATTCCTCAATAAACTATTGGTTCCATTATCATTAATAATTAATATGATCAATAATAACATTATATATATTATATATAAACATATTTATTTACAAACTAAATATCACAAAAAATTATACGGACTCCGTTTTATAATGGACAATAAACTATTTATTAAAATATCGCACAACTCTTAAAAAAAAAGTAAAACAATGCACACAACTAAAAGAGTTGCTTTACTCCATACCAAAAAAAGAGATGCCTTACTTGAATACCAACCAAAGTTCATATTCGTACACGTATTAGCGAAGATGTCTTCTCCAAATAAGTCTTTGTATGTGTATAACGGTGTCTAGTTCATACGTAGCTCAAGAGAAGCACAAGAGTCTCTACTAAAACAATCACGATCGTTCGATTGGCCATACTTCCAGATAGCACCGCTATCACCGTTGAGGTGATCTTCACCGTGCATAGGGAAGAGAGGAAGCCTACGTCGATGTTCCAGATAAGCATTGACACCACATTCTTCTTCTTCTTGACGACCTTCCAGACCAAACATAGGCTTTGGTCTATGCAAGAAGTTGCAAGGCGCAAATGAGTAGTGATGATTATAATCCAAGTTTGCCCATTCTCCACCTACGTTGTTGTAATTTATAGAACAGTCTTGTCATTATATGTAAAACATTAAATTTATATTCATATATGAAGGATATATATTATTTGAATTAAATGGCGTATTGTTTGGTACGTACCATAGACATGTGTATTAATGGGGCCATTAGAAGCATTAACAGCACCACATTCAGTATCTTGATATGACTTCGATCAAGTTAAGTGAGTTTGGATTCTCTCGTAAACCATCTCTCTACCACTATTCAGTTCATCCAAATCCTGCACCAATTCATAAGTACAACATGAAATCTAAACATTACCAACACTGCTCATGTAGTAGAGGACGATGAATATGAAATTCGGCTTAAAAATATAAAAGTTTTGCTTTTCTGATTTCTCGGTTCTATGTTTGAAAACTTGAACCCAATATATTCTGCCATATATGTGTAGAAAACATAAAACGTAGTCCTGCATCCAACATCAAGTGTTTGCATACTTCCTGCATAATGAACCGAAACTGAATCAATATGGCCTAACATTGTATATGGAATTTCTTTTTAAGCATATTGTAAAACACGAAAACGATATAACTCTTACTAAGAGTCGAAGCATTTATCTTAATCTGGCTAGAAAGAAAAAGCACAGTTAACTATTGAAACCAATATTTGTTTGGCCACATTCATGAGAGATATATACAATAAATTTTAAATTAAAAACAAAAATAAACTATTGAAACCAAATTTCTATTTTGATCATGCCAATGTATAAGCCTCAAATATCGAGCTAAACGTATTTTATATATCTGCATACCTTCTATGATATTGAATTTCTTGCTATTGGACGGTCAATACACTTTCTTTCTTGAACATTAAATATATAGACACCATTTAGGTCATGAGGATTCTTTCTTTCACGCTGCAAGTAACAACAAAATTAAAAAAAAAAACAAATGCTTACATTAAGAGTATTCACAGAGAACTCTAGAGCAGCTTTGGTTTCAGTAGGTCCCGACTTCACGCAACAGGCAAATTCAAAAATGTCAAAATGTGAACCATGCCATAAAACCAAAATGGTAGTATGCACTAAATGTTATACCTCATATGAAGGTACTAAATTTGCAATGTTGCGAACAGTGAATGCATCACCCGGTTGGAATCCCAGGACAGTAGAAGGACAAACCCTAGAGTCTGCACAAGCGATCACCAGAAACTGTTGCTTACACTGTTAGCAACAATTCCTTTCTCCAGACAAAATTTAAACCACAGAAGATATCTCAAGCCTTCCGTGAACAATAATAAGCATTTGTAAATTGTAAAGGTACCTTCGGAGCTTGAGCATCTGCCAAATTTTTGTAGTGTTCTAAGTTATCCCTGCTCAAGAGTATATCATAAGGTGGGGAGAAACAGAAAGACAAAAAGTAATTTATAAACCATTGAAAAAGCAAAAGACTGAAGAAATTGGTTCTGCTACTTACGCTTCTTGAAGTAATTTATAAACCATTGAAAAAGCAAAAGCAAAAGTACTTATGCTTCTTGAAGGCGAGGAACCGCTGTTTCATGTCGTCAAATACATCATTGTCATTTTGTCTATTAATTGCAACCCCATTAGCTTCCTGAGTCAGTCCAGGTGTCTTTCCTGAAGCCATCACTTGCAAGTTTGAAGCTTTTCTTCTGCAAACACCACAACACTTAAATATTATAAAACGTCTCCACTGAGATTGTGCCACTTAAAGCATCACAAAAATACTCTTCTTTTCAAATCTTACAAAAGACACACTACTTATAGACCAATGAGAAAAAGAAAATTTGTATCATAAAACTATTCGATGTGTAATTTTCACATATAAACTACAATTCAAGTAAGGAGAAGACTGCAATATTGATATATGACCTCTAAAACTCACGAAATTTTACTCAAATTCAAAAGCAGTCCATGCAATCAAAAACGAATTGTACCTATACTTCAACACACTCCCGAAAGCTCATCTTCCATCCATGGCAAGCTTTCGAAAACTCAATACTAAGAGAATCAGCACGAACAGTCACAAGAAACTCTCTATTTTACAATTTTATCACGATAGACATACCTTTGCAATCTCGACATCGATCTCGATTTAGAGAGCCACCGGAGACGATAACTTGCACGATAATGACATTAGAGCGAGCAACCTCTGTTTTTTCGTGAGCTTCAAAACAGATTTCTGTGTTTTAGAAAGTAAATATACGTTAGGGTTTCTAGCAATCAAAAAGAAAAGCATGTAAATTCATGATAAATACAAAATATAGTTTAGATTAGAGACTGACTTTTTGTACGATGAAACAAACACGCTTTGATGATCGTATGCCCACATCTCATTGTAACCTGAGAGGTTAAAAAAACATAATAAAAATCCAAAATATATGCTGAAAAAAATTATGAATGCCTATAACTAATACGCAATAAAATCGCATATAAAAATATATAATATAACACAAAGAAACACAAACATTAAAATAGGTAAATATATGTAAAATATACAAACCAAATCTATAGAAATACCTTTCCAAACCTCGTTCTGTTCTCGTCAAAACCATCTTCGTCCGAAAGCTTTGTCGATGGAACCTCCCACGTTCTACAAAACTGAAACACATATCAAAAGAATCAAATCAGCAAAACAATAAATCAACGAATTAATGCAAAAAATAAAACAAACAACAAACAATATGCACACGACGTCTAAAGGTAAATGAAAACAGTATTTGCATGACAAACAATTTGATTCATCAGAATCGTAGCTGTATAAAAAAATCATAACGGTGAAAACTATCTAATGGGCACAGAAAAAATAATACCTAATTCTCACCGATCAACAATATATATAGCTTTAAGATTAGGGCAAACATCAATCATTATCTTAAGAAATTTAACTTTTTAATTAGAAACTAAATCAGAAAACTAACAAAAACGAATATTAACTACTAAGATATAGAATTTATCCAAAAAATAAACAAATAAATTAAAGCTAAGATTCCATAATCCTTAAAGTCGAGACATTATGACATTCGTATCCCCAACGATTACACTATATAAAAAAAAATTAAGGGTGATTAAGACTAATCATCTCAAAACACGATTAGCCTTATATACCCCTAGCAATTAAGAATAAAAAATTTCGAAATTGAGGGTGTTTAGGACATTATTATAGAGATCAACACACGATTAGACTTATATACCCCTAATTACGAAGAAGGAGAAATTTCGAGAAGAACAATTCATTAAGGGTGTTTAGGACAAATCATTCTAACTTTTAACCACAGGCCTCCAATGCCCTAACTTTCAATATGGTGCGTTTCTACTTCTCAAATAATTATTGTAGAGATATATATATATATATATATATATATATATTTATTTATATATATATATATATATATATATATATATCAACCAAAGAAAAAAAAAGTTGTATAATTATGGTTTTGGTTTTTTGAACAAATTTTTTTTTGGAAGTTTCCAGTTTTATTTTCCGAATAAGATTTGGTTCTACATAGGATCCGAAACACTTGAAATTAGAAAAAACAAAGAAATCCAAAATGTAATACGATATTGTGCAACAAAAGCCAAAGAAATCAAAACCGAAATAACATTAAATAACCAAAGCCAAAAATCTATATAGCATTAACAAAAACGTATATAGCAAGTAAAAGTGGGCTGCATCTTTTTGGAATTGAACAACATTCAAATGTTTTATCTTGTGTGTGATTGATTGATTCACTAGAGAGACGAGAGTGGTACCATGTTGTCTGCCATGTGGCTATTACCGTACATGATATTAGGAGGCATTGCGGAAGCACTTAATACAATAGCACAGAACGAGTTCTTCTACTCTGAACTTCCCAAATCCATGTCAAGCGTCGCCACCACACTCTCCAGCCTCGGCATGGCCGCAGCAAGCCTCATCTCCTCCTGGATCATCACCATCGTTGACGTCACCACTTACGGGAGCTGGATCACAGAGAATATAGACGAGGGACACTTGGACTATTACTACTGGCTCTTGGTAGGATTATCTGTGCTCAATGTTCTGTATTTTGTGTGGTGTAAGAAATCTTATGGTAAATGTAGTATATAACGACAAGTGTAAGAAAATTTGTAACTTACAAATGTAATTTAACAGGTTGATGCTTCAGTTATGGACTAATTTATTCATATAAAACATGGAAACTTGGGGAGAAGAGACACACACTCAAGTTTGTCTGTAAGTTTACCTTTTGAGATGTCCACAAATATACGAATATACGATGCTAAAGCGCAATCAAATTTACTTGTTTCTTAATTTTTATTTTTTTTGGACAAATTGTTTCTTATTTTTTTGATAACGAAAAATCCTGCTGACAAAATAAAAATAAAAACTAAGGACGAAAAATCCTTTTGTTTTTTTTAAGCCTAACATATATGATAATGATATAAAAAACGTTATTAAAGTGTCGTACTGTCTTTCTAAACTTTAAAACCTAATTTAGTTTTCCTTTTCTCTTCTCGTCTCTCTCTATATTTTTTTCCCGTCGAATGGAAACCATGTCCTCAGTTGTTTTAGTTATTCCTCAGTTGAAACCAAACTAAACTAGGGTGATTGGTTTTTAACTCTCTAAACTTAACATATTGACAAGAAATGGAGCAATATTAACTTTATGTCTTTATCCAAGCTTCGAAACGGACACAATCGACCAATAAAATCGGCGAATACTAGGCCCCGCGATTAGTGCTGGTGATTATGGGTTAGCAAGAGGTCCAGCGTTGAGCTGCCCTGTTTTCGAAACAAAACTAAAAAAGAAACAGAGCAACCCAACTGATAATATTTATTGGGCCTCAACAAAACGAAACTCCTGCCCAAAAACCCTTTTGGGTCCATATAGTGGACTTGTTTTGCGAGGCAGCTGGCGGTTACACACCAATAAACTTTATGCTGATCATGGGAGACAAAGACATGTCAGGACAGTCGGAGTTCATCAGGGCTCTTCGCTTTTTAAAATCGAACAAAACCCCAAAATGTTCTCTTAGCACTGCCTCAAATCCCATCAGATGAGCTGCTTGATACTGACTGTAAGTAATGTATGGCTTTGGGAAAGCCTATCAGTTGGAGGATACCCTATCGGCCATAACAGTAGTGAAGATGAGGACACGGATACTGATTCTGACTACTAATACCACAAGGTTGAAACCAAAGTATTCTTCTAAAGCAGAAAATAATTTGCCTTTTAGTTTATTCCTATGTTGAAACTTGAAACCAAACTAAACCAACCAACCCATTCGAAACTGAGAATTCTTAAAAGTCAACAGCGTCTAATTATAACTACAGAACACTAAACACATCTTTGTAGTAAAATTGATACTATTAAAAAAATAAAATTTGCTGATGTATTTTTTCAAGATTTTGTTGTAAACATTTTTTAGAAAAATTTAATTTTTTTGATAATGTTGCATGTCATACGTGGCATTTAACTATTGGCTTGTGAGGCCAACAAAAATAAAACAAATATTCGCTTGTTCTGTAGGAGACCTTTGGCTTGGTTAAAGCCCCCGCACGATTATCTTCCACACCAAAAACTCTCTTTCATCTCCAGATCTGCTGCTGATAATAAATTAGTAAGCAATCGTCATAGCTATGGCGATTAGGGTTTTTCTTACCCTTCTCCTCTTCTTATCATCTGCAATTGTATCGTTTTCTCTCTATGAAGATCAAGCCGGCCTCACTGATTGGTAACTCGTTTCTTCCTCATCTGATTTCTTCTGACTCTCTAGTTGACAAGTTTCGAAGCTTACTACTACTTTTCGATTTAGAAGTCTAACTAGAGCTTTCACCAATCTGATTAATCCAAATTCGCAGTGTATCTAGAATCTGTGATTTAGTGTTTTTAGATCTCACTAGCTACAGAATTGTTGTAGTAATATGATTCATGGATAGATCCTTTACGAATTCACTAGTGAATTTGAGATGCGATCGGGGTTAAGCTACTTTTTGCTACATAGTGAATAGTGATGTTGATGATTTCTAAGGAATTAGGATTTAAGTAACTAAGAATTCGTACAAATTAAAAATTGTTGAGGATCATTGTTTTATTGCGTAGGCACCAAAGGTACATTGGGAAAGTGAAGCATGCAGTATTCCACACTCAAAAGACTGGAAGAAAGCGTGTTATCGTCTCAACCGAGGAGAATGTTGTTGCTTCACTTGATCTCAGACATGGGGAGATTTGTAAGAGAATATTCATCTTCTTATATTTGTTATCCATCTTGAATCTTGAAGTATATTCCACTATGATTTTCCTTTTTTTTTTTTACTTTGTATTCTGATTTTGTGCAGTTTGGCGGCATGTTCTCGGGACAAAGGACGCTATCGATGGGGTTGGTATTGCCTTGGGAAAATGTAAGAGTTATCTTCAATACATGTGGATCGATTATGTCTCCATGTACCTAACACTATATATGCTTTCACCTGAATAAATAATGTACCAGTATCTTGAACTCTATTTTCTTGGCTTCAAATGATTTCAGATGTTATCACCCTTTCATCAGAAGGGAGTGCTTTAAGAGCCTGGAACCTTCCTGATGGCCAAATGGTGTGGGAAACATCTCTGCATACCGCACAACATTCAAAGTCACTGTTATCAGTGCCGGTAAGTAATTAGGACTTGGGAGTTATGCCATTTTCTTTAAAAGAATGACAACTTTGATCATAGGGCATTGAAGAGTGATATTATCTGATATCTTAGTTGCTTCATCCTTTCCTTGGTTGATTATTTATGAATTAAAGCTATCTTGCAGATAAATTTGAAGGTTGACAAGGACTACCCTATTATTGTTTTCGGTGGTGGGTACCTCCATGCTGTTTCTGCTATAGATGGTGAGGTCCTCTGGAAAAAGGATTTCACAGTGGAAGGGTATGACAGCCTTCACTCTATATTTAATTGAGGTTACTTCAACTGCAGACATGCGTATTATAATACTCTTGGCGTTTATTAATATTTTCGATGTTCTTTATGGTGCCTCCTGCAGGTTTGAAGTTCAGCGGGTTCTTCAACCTCCTGGAAGTAGTATAATTTATGTGCTGGGATTCATTAATTTATCTGAGGCTGTTGTTTATCAGATTGATTCCAAAAGTGGAGAGGTAGTGGCACAAAAAAGTATGGTGTTCCCTGGTGGATTCTCTGGCGAAATTTCATCAGTTTCAAGTGACAAAGTTGTTGTTCTTGATTCGACGAGGTCAATTTTGGTTACTATTGGCTTCATAGATGGGGGTCTTAGCTTCCAGAAGACCCCTATTTCAGATCTTGTTGAGGATTCCGGGAAGGCTGAGATTTTATCAGCGCTTCTTAGCAATATGCTTGCTGTAAAAGTCAATAAACGCACTCTATTTGTGAAGGTTGGTGGCGAAGGAAAGTTGGAGGTGGTAGACTCTTTGTCTGATGAAACAGCCATGAGTGATTCACTTCCAGTTGCAGACGATCAGGAGGCCTTTGCTTCAGTTCACCATGAAGGGAGCAAGATTCACCTCATGGTGAAACTCGTGAATGAATTGGATAATGTATTGCTTAGAGAGACCATTCAAATGGACCAACATAGGGGGCGTGTCCATAAAGTTTTCATGAACAACTATATCAGGACAGACAGGAGTAATGGATTTAGGGCGCTTATTGTGATGGAAGATCACTCACTCTTGTTACTGCAACAAGGAGCGATTGTTTGGAGCAGGGAAGAAGGCCTGGCTTCAGTGACTGATGTTACAACGGCAGAACTCCCTCTAGGAAAAGATGGTGTATCAGTGTCAAAAGTGGAGCACACTCTCTTTGAGTGGCTTAAGGTATGAACGGTCTTAAACGTCTTGGTTGGGTTTTCTTAAGTTCCCTAGAGCTGTGTTATTTTGTTGAGTATTTGATGTGTTCTACTTGTTTTCTCACCATAATCAATTGAACTTTTTCTGTTTCTTTTGGTAGGGCCATGTGCTAAAGCTTAAGGGATCCTTGTTGCTAGCAAGCCCAGAGGACGTGGTAGCAATTCAAGAATTGAGGGTGAAGAGCTCTGGGAAGAACAAATTGACCCGTGACCATAATGGCTTTCGGAAATTAATCTTAGCACTTACTCGACCTGGAAAACTTTTTGCTCTGCACACTGGAGATGGGAGGATTGTCTGGTCCATGCTACTAAAATCTCCTAGCAACTCACAAGCCTGTGAACGTCCAAACGGTATTAGCTTGTACCAATGGCAGGTCCCTCATCATCACGCCATGGACGAAAATCCTTCGGTGCTTGTAGTTGGCAAGTGCGGATCAGATTCAAGTGCGCCCGGTGTACTTTCATTTGTAGATGTGTACACGGGAAAGGAGATTAGCTCATCAGATATTGGTCACTCTGTTGTGCAAGTTATGCCTCTTCCATTTACCGACTCGACGGAACAACGTTTACATCTAATAGCTGATACCGTTGGCCACGTCCACTTGTATCCGAAAACTTCAGAGGCTCTCAGCATCTTTCAACGCGAGTTTCAAAATGTATATTGGTACACTGTTGAGGCAGATGATGGAATTATCAGAGGACATGTAATGAAGGGCAGTTGCTCTGGTGAGACTGCAGATGAGTACTGCTTTACAACCAGAGAACTTTGGACTGTTGTGTTTCCTTCGGAATCAGAGAAAATCATTTCAACACTAACACGAAAGCCTAATGAGGTATAGATCTTGGTTTCTAAATCAATGCTTCTTTAATTCTTGTTAGTGTTTTACTTAAAACATATACATAGATTGCTGTGTTTCCTTTTGCGAGTATTCGTTTCTTGGGAGTTTTGAAAACCCAAAACACTGGAATGGAATGGAAGCTTAGTAAATGTTTACTTTTTTAATCATGACTTGCGTACCATTTTTATTTCCAGGTTGTTCATACACAAGCCAAAGTCAACACAGACCAAGACCTGTTGTATAAATATGTATCAAGAAACTTACTGTTTGTGGCCACCGTTTCACCAAAAGGTGCTGGTGAGATTGGCTCAGTTACACCAGAGGAGTCATCACTTGTAGTATACCTCATTGACACCATCACTGGACGGATACTGCACCGTTTGTCACATCAAGGCTGTCAAGGGCCGGTTCATGCGGTAAGTCCTCATGCAAATTTATCTCATTTCTTTTTGTCACAGATTCAGTGCAATTTTCTTAGCCTTCAAATTGTTTTCAGGTGTTTAGTGAGAATTGGGTTGTTTACCACTATTTCAATCTTCGAGCTCACAAGTACGAGGTTACGGTCGTTGAGATCTATGATCAGTCTAGGGCGGTATGACTTCATAGTTCATACTCAAAACATTTTTTCAGTTGATTGAGTGTTCGCACTGTGAATCATTATGGATTTTATTTGCAGGAGAACAAAAATGTCTGGAAACTCATTTTGGGAAAGCACAATCTAACAGCACCAATCACTTCGTACTCTAGGCCAGAGGTGTTTACAAAGTCACAGTCATACTTCTTTGCTCAGTCTGTGAAAACCATCGAGGTGACATCCACAGCAAAGGGTATAACTTCAAAGCAGCTTCTCATTGGTACCATCGGGGATCAGGTTTGTACATTTCTTGTCATATAGATACCTCCATAGATTGAAAAACTGATACTCAAAACTGTTCTAATGAATAATTAGATATTGGCACTTGATAAACGATTTGTGGATCCACGCCGAACACTTAACCCGTCTCAAGCTGAAAAAGAAGAAGGAATCATCCCTCTCACGGATACATTACCCATCATTCCTCAGGTTCATGCAAACCCATTGTCCTTATTTTTGTTAGAACTGGGCAATCTCTTGTTTGGTTTCAGTTAGAATTAAGTGATTGTATCGATTCGAATGCATTTGTCATATATTTCACAGGCGTACGTCACACACTCCCACAAAGTAGAAGGTCTAAGAGGCATAGTAACAGCTCCGTCCAAGCTAGAGTCAACAACACACGTCTTTGCCTATGGAGTGGATCTCTTCTACACAAGGCTTGCTCCTTCAAAGACCTACGACTCACTGACCGACGATTTCAGCTATGCACTTCTCCTGATCACGATAGTAGCACTTGTTGCAGCCATCTACATCACCTGGGTCCTTTCAGAGAAGAAAGAACTAAGCGAAAAATGGAGGTGATTGAAACCTTTAAAGGTTTAAAACCCTTCCTCTCTTTGGGCTTTTTTTCACAGTTGTAGAATGTTTATGAACCATTTTTCGCACTCTTAGAAAAAAAACCATTGGCTTAGCTAAATTCTTGATGTTAGGCTTTGGAAATTGAGTACACTTTACAGACTCTTGCTTTGTGACCTTTGTCACATTCTAAAGTTGGGCTGAACCTTCTGAATTTAAAGTTTATACAAGCCTCTTTTTAACCTTTTCTTTTTTTTGTGAACAGAAATAAATTCCATGTTTTATGACCCAAATCAGATAATGATTGATCCAACAAAACAAACATGTCACTTTTAAACAGTTCTTAAACCCTCGTCAAAATCGTAAATTCATTTTTTTTGGGGACCATCCACACACAAACATGTGATTATAATAAATATTATGTAATGGTTTAATGCGAGTAATAATCTTAGGGAGAATACAAGTGTAACGCCTGACAAATTTGGTGCGAACCAATAATTTTCCTCCTATTTTAAAAAGAGACGCTTCCCTTCACTTCACTCCACTTCACTTAAAAGTCCACCACAACAATCTCGCTGCAGTGAGCGATGATGAAAGCAAATCAGAAACCGAAGCCACACGCGCCGCCGCGCCCTCTCTTCTCATGTGGCTTCTTCCGCCGCTGCACACAGTCCGTACTCAGTCCAACCTCTCCCCACCAGCAGCAACCTCGCCGTAAACCCACCACCACATCATCCTCCTCTTCTTCCTCCTCAACCTCAACTTCCCAAAGCTTCACTCAATGGCGCTTCCCTCATCACCTTGATCCAACTCCATCCACCGCTCCTCCACCTCCTCCACCACCTCCACCTCCGCCTCTTCCGGTAACCACCACTCTCCAAGAAACCTTCCAGATCGCAGAGCTTCATCTCACATCCGTCTCTGAATCCGACAAGCTCCTCGCTCTACAGCTACTCGAGCGTGTCGTCGTACCCGACCCGCCTTCTGATCCGACTTGTCCACCGGGTCTCATGCGATGCCTCGTCTCTTGCCTTCGTAGCAACAACAAGATCGTAACCGCCAAATACGTCACCAAGATCCTCCTCGCTCTCTGCCTCGCCGAAGGAAACCGCCACGTGGCGGTCGAGGCTGGAGCCGCCAGAGCGGTGATAGAAACAGCGGCGGGGCTAGAGATCTCAGCGGTGGAACGAGCCTTAGCTGCGTTAGAGCTCATGTGCACGACGGCGGAAGGAGCTGCGGAGGTTCGTGGTCACGCGATGACGGTGCCGGCAATGGTGGCGGTGATGGCGAGACTAGCAGGGAGGGGAAGAGAATACGCTATAAGCATACTTTCCATAGTCTACGGGAAAGCAGGCGGAGGAGGAGATTCCGGCGAGGAGATCGCGGTGGCGCCGGCGGAAGAGGTGGCTCGGGCGGTGGCGTTGGCGCTGGAAGGAGAGTGTACGGCGAGAGGAAGAAGAAAAGGGGCCCAACTATTGAAGACACTGGAGGAATATGGACGGTTGGATCTGAGTCAGAATGGGACATGAGAAAATGAAATCTAACGGTGGAGATTATGTCAGATGAAAAATAATAAATCTGAAAGCTAGTTTTTTTGGGGTCACGGGCTTGTTGTTCTTTTCTTAAAGATGTGTGGGCCTTCGTCTCTGTCTCCCCTATCTATTAATTATGTATATATTACATTAATTGTCCCTTTTAATTATTAGATATAAACCTTTGTCAAAATTTGTATAAACTAATATAAATTTGTATCATTTTAATTGAAGTGATGTTAAACAATTCAATTTTAACATCAATATATTGATAATTGATGTTAACCCACATATTTTTTTACTCACTCTGTATCATAAAGAATGATTTTTGAGATTTTATTTTTGTATCAAAAAGATTGATTTTCTATATATTTTTATTAATTAATGTTAATAAATTGTGAATTTCAAAATCATTAATTGATAATTTTAAAATTTGATGAATTATTATTGGTTAATAGCTATAAAAAATGGTTTAGTATGAATAAATAGTATATTTATAACTAAACATTAAACTAAACATTAAATATTTTTCTTAATTGGTATAGAAACTCTATAAAATCAATCTTTTTGATACAGAGGGGTATCATTTATTAATAAATGATTTAATTTAAAATCACTTATTTTTCTGATACTATTTAAGTGATACAATCCACTTCTTTTTTTGCAATTGTGGGTTCAAAACCTAGTTATTATAAAAAACATAACTATGTCAAAATTTATTAGGTTTTACTGTGGAACAAATTTCCATAATTTTATCCGCGAAGTCGAAAGACATATTTGACTGTTAGCAACGAACTAGTTATAAAATTCTTAATGACACAACCAGTTTTTAATGGAATAAATTATAATGAGAACTCATAAAGAAACCATATATGCGAATCCTAGCCAGCTTCTCACTTTCTTAGGCATCGGGTAGACATTCAACTTTCAAGTAACCATATGATTCTCTGGGATAATGAAGTTTCATACGATTGGTTTTAAATTGACTTATAGGTTTAGGTTTTTAATAAACTGAAAACCAATTGTAAATGAGTAGACTGTCATTAGATTATTTCAAAAAATTTCATGTAAAATTCTAACAGTCTCTTCGAAAAAATAACGATTATCGGTTTATATATATCATACTCTAAAATATATAATATATCCCATTTAGATCAAAAGTAAGTTTCATAAATTTATAATTCAAACCTATTTGACAATAAGTCGACTTGGACATGTCATTTATATATATATTTTTAGTTCCTTTAAGCTTCGGAAATGATTCCTAACCTAGTATAGTTTTTTTTTTTTTTTTTTTTTTTTTTTTTTTTTGTCAATCAGAATATGTTTAGAAATGAGAAAACTCATGTGTTTTTGCATGTTCATGGATTGGTCATTTTCGAATAATTAACTATTGGCATGAACATGTGGGGTGGTCTCTATTTATAATTGAGAGGCACCTCCGCAGATACCAGAACATCGCCAGGTCATTTCATAGCAACTTTGATGCTACTATATATATAACACCTATATTGCAAGTTTTAGAACCTTATATGTATTTATTTTAATATTATTGCAAGTCTAAAAACTCAAAAATCAATAATCAAAATGGTAGAGAGCTTATAACACGAATTAGATATAATCTTTTCAATATATAAGAACTGACACCTTACATACATATACCAAAACTGTTTGAACTTTCACACGTTTAAGCATTGGTACATACTTTTTTTTACAGCAGCATTGGTACAGGCGCATAACTAAATAATATATGCTTATTCAAATCCACAAATTAACATTTGTCCAAAAAAAAAAAAAAACAAATTAACCACGCGGTAGTATAAAGAACATATAGTGTTCTAGGTTTTCATGAAAACTGGTTTTAAGCATGAACATGACTATTGATCTAGAAGTATGAACCGTATTAATGACCAAATATTACTTTGATCAATTGATACAATTATGACCGTACAATACTAGTCGATCCAAACCATAATTTGGTTAGCTGTTATACCGGTCAATGAGGTGCTACTATAGCTATATACCATATATAACTGGCCTCACGTTGGTCGTCTAACACAACATAACCTCTGAATAGAACTAAAAATACCGTTTAATATGAGTGATATATATCACTCCATAAAGCCAAACTAATTTAGCAGAATTAGGATCACTCAACAGATAAGTTAATGATCCACTAGCATCGTTCAACGAGTAGCAAGAATTATCATTAATAAGCGGATACGAGGAATTAAAAATCATCACATATCGTAAGTATACTTCGATCTTTCTTCTTACTTACAGAAATGAAGTACTTTACGTCAAACTCCGGAACAGCCAAACGACATAAAGACATTTGTGATAGGACAAGAATATAAAATATATTGATGAAGAAATTAAGAAAATAGAAATCTATATTCACGACAATTCATTTTTAATTACGGATATAGTAAAAATGGTTTATTATGACAGTAAATAAAAAAAACAAAATGTGTTGGTCAGCCTAAATATACTAAAATGGTTTTATTTATAATGTTCGAATTAATCTACCATCTATCAGAACACACCATAAACGGCAAAACTAATTCATGTCTGTGGGCATGACGACTCGAGCTCTCCACATTATTGAATCCTGAAAGTAATTTTATTCAAAACTGACATAACTATATTGGTTTGAAATATTAAGAATCTCAAAATATAATTCTGAAAAAAAAAAAATCAATTTGATAAAAAATATTGTTATTATATTAATCCGACCTGATGACTGGTATGAGACAAACTCTAATTTGATTTTAAGATTTTAGATCCGTCATGATCCTTTGGCTTAGCGGATCAGACCGTTAGATAGGGTTTAATCTATATGAGTCAGGCCAAGTCACTGACCAACTTTTTTCAATTTTTAAAATCGGTCCTACAAAAGCTGTACCGGGTTGGCATGAGGGTTTTGTTCCCACCAGAACATCTTTTGTCATACGTATCGGTTGGCCAAAGGAAACAATGACTTTAGAGGGTTTGTTTGCCGGTTACTCCATGATAATGATGGTATTGTACTAATTTTCGAAGTCGTAACCAACTAAAATAAATAATCTCAACACTTTCTCGATAAATAATCACCAATGTCAAGGAATTGTAATCATGCCCCTCACTCAAATTCTTAACTATCTTAGTCTTGGAATTATATAATATCTCTAGTATATATATATATATATATATTTATTATTTTATCGGTGTTATTCACGACTTCACGTTATCGATATAAATATTTTGATGATGTAAATTAGAGCTGATTATCATCAATTTTATTCAACTGATATCAATCACTTTTAATCACTTTTATCAATTATCCCATTATATATCTTTAATTGATGTTGGATTACATAATTAGTACTCCCTCAGTTGTTTTAAAATATCGGATGTTTAAGGAACTTTTTTTTTTCCCAAAATATAGGATGTTTTCAGATTTTTATGCATTTATTTATTTTCATAATATTAAAAAATATGTAGTCAACGGAAGTATAAAAACCAACGATCTTTTTTTTTTTTTTTCGTCTTTTTTTTTCGTCAATTAAAACCAACGATCAAAATTCATATTGATGGCTTCCAAGATTCGATGGTCAATACCATTATTATCATCACTAGTCATCACCAAAATCGCTCAACGTGGCCACTAGTATTCTTGTTCAATTAATTAAGTTTTGTTTATTACTGTTTTGGTTAAAGAAATAATTTTTTTTAATATGTGTGTTTTTAAGCAAAACATCCAATATTCTGAAACAGGGGAAATATCAATTTTTTTCCCCAAATTAGTATCAAATCAACTATCTATATATACATTTTTGGATGACTTTTAGCAAATAAATCCTGGAGTTGGAATGTATTTACGGATGAATGCCATTGGCATTAATTATTTAAATTTGAAAAATATTAATTAAAGATATTACCAACACGATTTCGAGAATCATAAATTCATATCTTCCTTAATTTTCTGAGTCATTAATGTGATAATCTTTAGGAAATATTTCTCTGTAAAAAAAGAAATCCACATTAATGAAGGCATTAAAATCGACACTAACAATTAAATTATTTAGATATTCAATTATTTTAAGATTCTTATATCTTATTTGATATTTTTTTTTAATATCTCATTCTTTAATTACTGCGTTTAGAATTTATTGGTTGTTACCTATTTTTTGGTGAAATTTATTGGTTGTTACTTAATAAGTAATTATGGTGCGTTTATTTTAGTTAATATCTAATTTAAAGGATTTGTTTTCTTTTATTATTAATAAACGAATAACATGTATAGAAATAAAAGATTTTTCTTGCGACTCCATAATAAAAATATTAAACTCTTATTTTCTACATTTCTTACACATAATATCCTCTTATTCAATAACAAAAAATATATATTGCATATTTTTAAAAATATTTATAATATTTAAATTATATAAAAAGTTTGTAATATTAATATTATTTCAACTCTATACAAATTTAATATATATGTATATATATCTTATGGGAACCATTTAAAAGAAATTTTTAAATTGACTTGAATTATATAGCTTTTAAATAAAAGTATTATTAAAAAGAAAAATAACTAAATGATATTTAATTTCACGGGACGGGTAATATGATGGGACGGGTTTGGGTTGATATTTATAAAAGATAGTATACCACGGGTGAAATCCTAAAATTAACAATCAAAATAATCTATCAAACAAATTACATTTTGATTTTTTTAAGAAAATATAGCCCCGCGGTGTACCGCGGGTTAAAATCTAGTTGTTAATTATAAGCATCAATAATTTTATTGCGCTTTAAAACCAAACACTACATGCTTTCCCTTTTTGTACTTTTTTGTCAGATCAATTATTTTGTCAATTTCTGCCTTTTCTCTCTTTAAAACCCACACTGTATACCATCCATACAACTAGTGTATATCTATACATATATTATATGAATGATGACATACTTAGTGAGTATTTCAGATCTTAACCCTACATGATGTTCCATAATTTAGGTTTTGACCCAGATCTTAGAATACGAATTTTTTATTCCTAGCCTCTAAATCAACGGCGACAAAAAAGGATAAGTCACACTAAAATATCCTTAATTTCTTAAAAAAAACAAAAGATATTCCTTCCATTCTTTTATAAATGATGTTTTAGGAAAATGCAAATCGATTAAAAAATCATTTTACTTTTGTTTATTTCTAAACTAAAACATCATTTATTATTTAATCAACTAATAAAAAAACAATCTACAAAA